AAGAGGGATGATCTCTTTTTTTTTTTTCTCTCTATTCAAACCCAATTCTCCCTAGCAGCCGCCGGTCTCAATCTCTTCTGCCTCTCCAGCGTCCGACTTTGCCGGCGTTGCGAGAGGCCTCAACCTCTTCCATCCTTTTGTAGGCCAACGGCTCTTCACCTTTTCCCGCTTCCGCTGATCTTGTTCCTGCGGATTTGGTGTTTCCCCTCTTCGATCTGGTTCGGGGCCTGTCTTGTCTCCGTCGTCGGCAAGGACTATCTTCTCCCTCTTTTGGTCTCGTCTTTGCTTTGAAGGTTCTAGTTAGACCTCAGAGTTGGCCGTCCTACAGATCTTCGATCTTCGCTTCCTTTGCTGCAGACGAAGCCTTTGAAGTTTCGACTGCTCGTTCCGCTGGAGATTCTCTCTTTTGCCGGCGGCGGATCTCTGTGTCGTCGGTAGAAGCATTGGCGGTTTCCTGCATTTGGTTTAGGATTTGAGCTGTTTTGGTTCTAAGCTTCTTGTAGGTTTTGGGCCAGATGTGGGTGGATGAGTTTAGCCCATTAGCATTAGGTAAGGGATTCCAAACCAGACTCGTTCTGGATTTTGGCCTACTCTTGTTTTTATAATAAATCAAAAAGCCCAAAAATATTTAGTTTTAATGCAATGAAAAAAGTTTCAAAAAATTTGAACATATTGAATAAATAAATTTGAAAAAATTGCCACTTTTGAAAAGATTTTGATAAAGTGATGTTTTTGAAAAGTGACATTTCTCAAAAATTCTTTTGAAAACATATTAGTTATCTATTTAATTTGTTCAGTAACCAAAATTAACTTATGTGGTATAATCACATTTATTAGATTTAGGGTCATTGACTACCTTTTAAATTATATTTGTTTTTTTGGATTATTTAACCAAATTTTCCAAAGGTCAATTACCTTGCACTTTTTGTTGTTGTTGCAAATTTTCCCATGCCGCCAAAAAAGGAATCCAACGGCGGATAGCCACCGGTATTCAACACCACTAAATTTGGTCTACTAATACACATTTTAAACTGATTCTTTTTTTTCATTCTCAGCAAAATAATGGGCTTTTCCCACGTTATAAGATCCT